ATGAGAATGATTTTGATTGGTTCTCCCATTATACTGACATGTCGTTATAACATAATAAATTCTATAATTCTAAAAAAGTTGACAAATTATGTCATTATACTAGTATAACGAGATAAATAATAGGTGTCATTTAATTTTGTCATTCGTAATTGATTTCATCACGCGTAATTGATTTCGTCACGCGTAATTGATTTCGTCACGCGTAATTGATTTCGTCACCCGTAATTGATTCGTCACCCGTAATTAATTTCGTAATTACGTATTACGTTTTTGGCAAAATAATTACCATCCCATGTATAGTTATAAAGCTCTGAACAAATCAATGAAATTCAAACCAATTTGACCTAATTTTTGATTTGAATCAGTTCAAACTGATTTGAATATATAATTTTGATTCAAACTTGATTTGAACTGATTTGAATATGCAATTTGATTCAAACTGATTCAAATCTATAGCAATCATTATCATTCATTACAGTATTAGTTATATTTATTACTTAGATTTAATGAATTTATCAATGAATTGTGCAACTGTAAATTGTATTACTTATAATATCATTATTATTTAGTGATGGTGGTCAAAACTACCTTACTAGTGGACCAAAATTGCCAAAATTAATTGGCCTAAACTTGGACAAAACCAATTTAATAATAGCTCAAATTGTATGAAATCATTTTTAAGTTTTATTTATTATAAAAATATTGGGCTACCATGGTATTGGGAAAAACTACCTTTTGTGTAATATAAATTTAATATGATGTTTACAAAAAAAATTTTAGGAATCCAGTTTGATTCAAATTGAATTGAATCAAGTCATGAATCAAATTGAACCAAATCCGAATTGGATCAATTCATTCAGAGCCTTAGCTAAAATGTCACAATGTACTCTTTAGTCAGTCTTTAACAAATGAAGTATTTGTTGATGATCATTTCATGAGACTATTGACAAAAGAAAAAGTATTAATGATTAATTTATTTTTATTTTGGAATGGAACAGCACTAATCATATAAAATTCACATGATTTTTAAAAGCAATAATTTTTTATTTTTTTCTTAATTCATATTTTTTAAAACTTTTAGAGCAATAGTAGACACAATTTTTTTATCAACCAAGATCTCATCATGACTATCTCCAAATTTGATTTCTTTCATTATTTTGCCTAAATTTGTTGAATTACCTGTTAAGTTGTTGTCTTTGATGAATTTGATGATATTTGATTCAATTTCTTCTTCAGATAATTTCTTTTTTGGCAAATAGGATTCTAAAATTTCTAATTCAATTTGTTCTTTGCGAACTAAGTCCAGTCTTTGTGCTTGTGAAAACTTTTCTATAGATTCATTATGTGCTTTAACAGATTTGTTTATAATTTTATAGATTTGTTGATTTGTAGGTGGTGGTTACTTGCTAGGTGTAGCAAAGGTCTCCCTTTGACAGGTGATTAGTTAAATTAAAGATTAATATTTTTAGGGTAAAATATGTTATGTGTTATTAGTGATAATAATATTATATTACAATAGTGTTAGGAAGTATTAATTATTAGATCAATAATTAAAATATTGTTATCAACATGATCCTTCAGACTTGGTCTAAACCAAGTCTTTTTATACCTCTTGAGGTATTACAAATAACATGACTTCTACTCTATTTTGTCCAATAAAATATGCTTATTAATGCTAAATAAATATTTGGGTCAACTGAGCATTACAAAATGATAATTAATAATTCAAAGTAAATATTTGCATCAGCTGAACAAGTTCTTGAAATATAAATATAGAAATATGAATAGAAATAATTGTTCGTGTGATACTGCGCAGTAGGTTCACAAAAATAGAAATGAAGTGATGGTAATCACGTGACTTCTACAGTAATTTGGTTTGGTTGGATAGGACCCCGGAAACTTATATTAGATGTTCCCGTCATGTAGACTGGGTAAAGTTTATATAAAAAATTTCCAAAAGT